ATCTTCCTGTATTTGCAAAATTAACATAGCTTTGTAGTGAGGAAGGAAAGTAAGCTAAGTAAGCGTCAAATACCAATACTAATCAAAGTCCAGGTAAGACCCCACAAAAAATTAATGACCCAGACTTTGAACGCCCTCCTCAAATGATCCAAATTCCCAAAAACTCATACCGGCTGACGACTTTGAAGACTCACCTCAAATGACCCAGACTCACGCTAAATTTCAATGCCGATACTAGTGCAGTCTACAGAAGACCAAATAACATTCCAAGTCCAAGGAAAGACTGACTCCAATACTAATCCATGTCCCACAAAAAACTTTAACCAGAAGTATATATCCAATGATGAAAAATTCATCGGAATAAACCACCTATGCTGCGAATTGTTTCTCATCTTACTCTCCGATGGAAGATATCAGAGATTCAACAGCAGTGCCACAGATTGTGAAGATTGTGAAGTTGGTTGTTAAGTTTCATCCACTATTGATAGTGACCAATCTAATCTTTGGGGTAATATTTTTACATGATTGGATTGAAGAGGAGGTGAGAAATCAATGGAAAATTCTGAAGGTTTATTGTCAATCAATAATGAAAGCCCTATTGGATCCAGTTATTGAGAAGATGAAGAATCTATCAAAAGCCCTGCAGATGCATTTCAAGAACGAAGCAGCAACGGGTCAACTAAAGGCCAAGTTGATCGGTAAACTTGCCCTGCTCTCCGCTGCATTTCTTTTACTTGATACAGAGTTGGGTTCAAACTTTGATAAAAGAAGGGTTAAAATACAATTATTGTTGTTTGTTGGCCACCATTTGCTAGATTATTCAAAGTTTTGGACTGAAGTCCGTATTCTCCACCGAAGCTGTAGTTGTGCCACAAATTCAACGTCTAACTTCACCTTCTTTATTCTAGCTCTTCTTTTTGCAAAATTTTATGATAATTCTTTGAGAAGCCTCAGTTCTATGTTGTGCATCGCAATTTATTTTTTATGTCTATTGGTGTTATTACGACCGCGAACAGATTTGGGTTTATTTAGTTTCATCATTGGAGTCGTCGGATCCATTACTTACAATTGTTACAAGTTCAAGTTTCCAACATGGATAATTGCCTCCATTTGTTTTGTGTTGTTTGGTTTGAAGAGTTGGATAGATAAATATTGGTTGGATTTGGAAGAAGATCCCTCTACAAATACCACAACTGGAAGCACCAAAATGTTTTTTCTTTTTTCATCCACTGCTGCACTTACTGCACAAGCCCTCTTCGTGCATTCTATTTTCAAATCTCCCATGTTCGATTATAAAAATTGGTTAGTTAAGGTAAGTGGATGTGTGCTTTGGAGTGTTCGGTTCTATAAGTTATATCCCAATCCCAAAGATAGCTCATTGCCTTCTACAAATAACAATGGAATCAGCAATTTGATTTTGATAGTTGTAAATGTTGCACAAGGGATTTTCTCGTTTGCTTTTATCATATGTCCTATGGCAGATTATAAAGACTGGTTATTTGCAATAATTGGTTATGTTGTTTTTTGTTGTTGGGTACGAAGCTTTTATCCTAAAGATTTGTCACCTTTCTCTATAAATGCCAAAGGAATCATAGGTACTTTGTTATCTGTCATCAAATATGGTATTGTGGTGTTGGCTGGTTTGGAACCCCGCATGCCATGCAAAGACTGGCTAAATGCAGTAATTTGTTATGTTCTTTGGTGGGTTCGGTTTCGTATGTCCTTTCCCATAGATCCATTACAATTCACCGCAGTTGAGTTTAAAGCTCCACTATGGTGGATATTGGCAGTGGTATATTCAGCAATTATAGAGGTCATACCTTGGATCCAACTATTCACAACAACACATCATCAACAAGAAGGATGAGCATCTTGCATGCTAAAAAGGATGACAATCTTGCATGCTATATGGAAATTTTTATATTAATTCCTATGTCATTCTCTTTTTCATGTTTATGTTTATTATATCCATTATCCTTACTAAAACCAATTAATCATTTATAATCTTTCAATCGTTTGTGTTTTTGTCAGTTTGAAATTATTGTAGTTTACCTTTTGTTATATAGATATCAAATGACATAAATTCAACATCAAACTTCACCTTGTTTATTCTAGCTCTTTTTTTTGAAAAATTTTATGATAATTCTTTGAGGAGCCTCAGTTTTATATTGTGCATTTCAATTTTTTTTCTATGTCTATTGGTGGTATTACAACCACGAACAAACTTTGGGTTGTTTGGTTTCATCATTGGAGTCATTAGATCCATTACTTACAATTGATACGAGTTCAAGTTTCCAACATGGATAATTGCCTTCATTTGTTTTGTGTTGTTTAGTTTCAAGAGTTGGATGTATAAATACTAGTTGGATTTGGAAGAAGATCACTCTACAAATACCATTGTCGAAAGCACCAGCTTGTTGTTTCTTTTTTTATCATTTGTTGCAGTTATCACATAAGCCATCTTTGAGTATTCTCTTTTCAAATCTCCCATGTCCAATTATAAAACTTGGTTAGTTAAGGCAATTG